TTGCGTATGAGAGTAATCACATTCTGTCACTACATTATACGAAAATAAACATACATTAAAGGCACAACCCAGGCAGAGGTCGTGTGAACGCTTCCCTTCGGTCTGTAGTATAGACCCCTAGAGGACAATCACAAATGTGGCGTTCCCGTGCACGGAAACCAACCGACAAGAGCGCTTGGGCCTTGCAAAGTAAGCTGCTGAAGCTGCAGATTTTTTCTCTTATCAGGCTGTTGTCTGGCGCTCTCTCATCTGTAGCGCTCTCTCGCCTCATACTCTCCTCTCCGCGCTTAGTCTCTCATTCCCTTAGCACAGCCGATTAGGAAGGTGAGTGAGCCCTTAACCTAAGCGTTTTTGACGGATTCTTTTCCTTTTTTCTTTACTGCCGTGGCGAAGGAGAGTGTACAGTGCAACGTGGCGCTGCTTAACATACGCACGGTCAGATTCATTGTACGCCCCCTGGACCCACAGCCCTTCCAACAAATCCCTACCGGGGTCGGGTTACTGATACCAGCTTGTCGCGGAGAATCACAACATTAGTACATCTGGGCTGTTGAGCACCGCACGATCGCTCGCATCACACATAGCCACAACGATTCCGAATGGAAATGTAATGCACGGCGCATATCAAAAATAGAGTGATAACGCCAAATGGTCCATAATTTACCCTCATCGCAGATATGTTTATTATACATAAGGGCGAATACATAATAAGTAAACATAAGTAAACTTAAATGCGCTCATGTGATGGAAGTGAAAAGCCAAAAGTAATGATGTCAAAAACTGTGGTAGGCTACAGTTCATGGAAGAATAAAGAGGGTCTCATCCAGTAAGGGGGGGCATCAAGTGGCTGCCCTCACCCCCCACCCCCCTAGACTGCCTACACTCCCCCTGGAGGCGCACAGGTTTCTTGAAGTACGAGACCCCGTAAGCCAGGGGGAGTGAAGCCAGTTCAGGGGGGGTATGCAGCCTACTGACGTTGTATATCTATATCCCCCCCTTACTGGATGAGACGCAAAAAAGAATGAAATGGAGCAGAAAGTGATCAGGGTGTGGCCAATTCTATTGCACTAAGCATTTTCGGTCCATCCACAACAGGTTTTCCGTTTTTTATAAATATCGCCTTTCCATTGCAGCGGTCAAGATTAGGGTCGGGTCATACTTTGCGATGCTCGTTTTTTCGTGGAGTAGATACGTATCGACCGCGTGATCGCACATGGTTGATATTTATCTAACCCACACTCGCACTACAGTGTATGACCCGACCCTTACGCTTTCCCCGGACGGGCAACGTAGGTACACGCGTTCCGCAAGTGCTTTCTTCCATTGGCGAGTCGCATTTTATGGGATGGATGCATATGGTGTATGACCCTCATGTGGTTTCTAGTTTTATTAGTGATTGGTTTGTCCTATTACTATCTGGGGCCGTTTTCAGCTGCTAATACTCCTACAAGCGCCGTGTCCAGCGAACCTTAAAACGTGTTTGGGCCACTAATTTGAAGCATAAATCACAGCCAATTGACTGAACCCAACAAAAGTGGTTCGTGGCCCCAATGTTCATCTCAAATACCCTGTTGCAATGATGTTGCAGCAAAAAATAACAAACCGCTCGGTGCTTAAATGTATACACCTAGGAAGCCATGCATAGAGGGGAAAAGCAGGAAAACAGAGAACTTGGAAGAAATCCCTGAAAGAAAGAGCGTTGAAAGAGTAGCGAATCTGATTGGCTCCGCAGTAAGATCTTCGAATATATACAAAGTAATGAGATCATGCTTTTGAGCAAACAAGGTAAACCGAAGCCATTTCAACACCAAGCTTGAGAACGCCATTGAAGCTGAAAATAGGCGTCAGCGAAATGTATCACTCGTGTCAGGTGTGCAACTGCGGGGAGTACTCGCATTGTACGTCCATGCTTGCGGGTTGTCTAGTCATGTTCGAACTTTCGATAACATTTCACTTTGTTTAGCTTGAGGACGTTCTTTTTTTTTATTCAAGAGAAGTAAGGGTATTTGCTCAATTCAAGGGGCCTTCGCTGGAACGGGAAAGGTGGCTTCATTTGAGTCAGGATGAAGTTTGCCGTGAGTGAATTTGTAGGAGTTGTGCTTCATTAGGTATGTTTTGGATGAAAGATGTAAAATTGAGGTCTTTACCCCTATTCTCTTGAAGCTGTTACTGGCACCAAAGGAAAAAAGGCAAACCTAGAGGATGAGACTCTTCGTTGATCTAGCCAAAACCACACGACTCTTCATTACAAGTGGGGGGTCTATTCCAGTTAGGGGGCATCATGATGCAGTTTTTCCCAGAAGGCTAAGGCAACTCCGAGCCAGGGGGAGTGTAGCCAGCTAGGCCGATGTCAGACTTTGCGAATTCGCTAGCGTCTGCGGTCGCGTCGCGGCCAGTGAATCACTCAATTGGCTGGTACCGCAACGCGACCGCGGACGCTAGCGAATCGCGCGATTCGCAAAGTCTGACATCGGCCTTAGGGATTGGGGGTGAGGGCAGTCACTTGACATGCGTCAAACTAATGTTCAAGTTCCACTAGTTCGTCGAGAAGCTGCATCGTGCCTCCACCTTGCGGAATGGGACCAAATGGGACTCTTACTTGAGCCCTACTTTCATGCATGCCTTAATATGAAAGGGATATTTGGTCCCTTTTTCACAGTAGTATTTTACCAGCACGCGTATGACCTTTCATGTTTGATGTTTCATCGTTATGGGCCGATGTCATAGTTTGCGAATCGAGCGATTCGCTAGCGAATCGCTCGATCCGAGCGTTGCGCCAGCGAATCGAACGTTGCACCAGCGAATCGAACTTTGCGCCAGCGAGTCGAACGATGTACCAGCGAGTCGAACTAGGTACCAGCGACTCAATAGTGGCGGGACCCAACGTTTAAAGGGGCGCCCGCCACTTTTCAAACAGTGTCCACTGCAAAGTCCCGCCACTTTCAAACAGCGTCCACTGTCACGTGACACTGTTTGAAAGTGGCGGGCTTCCTTTAAACGTTGGGTCCCGCCACTATTGAGTCGCTGGTACCTAGTTCGACTCGCTGGTACATCGTTCGACTCGCTGGCGCAAAGTTCGATTCGCTGGTGCAACGTTCGATTCGCTGGCGCAACGCTCGGATCGAGCGATTCGCTAGCGAATCGCTCGATTCGCAAACTATGACATCGGCCTTACTCTCTATTTCCAAGCAATATCTAGGTTTAATAAATGATCTTAGCTCTTGGTTTTCAACCAGAACTCCCAGTGTCAGATTTTCAGAGGCTTCAAGGGAATGAGTGTCGCCGGTCCAGCACGGCTTGCTTCACAGCTTGAAGAAATCGCCGCAGATGAGCCGCTCTCAAACCGCGACATGAAAATCGTGAGTATTTTGAGCTCTTTTCGGAAAGCATTTAAAAAGTTTTTTGCTCTATCTCTAGCGGTGCTCTTTCAGCTTCCTGCCAACTACACGTTCGAAATACCGAAAACTATTTGGAAAATTCGCTCAACTGGTAGCAAGCAAGGTTTGTAACAGAAAAAATCTGGCGCAATGTGCCTCGGGGGGGGGGGCCAGTCGCCGCGCGCGCTCGTGCGGCAACAGGAAATTCGTGAGCCAGGGGGAGTGTAGCCAATTCAGGGGGGTTGGGGGTGAGGGCAGTCACATGACATGCGTGAGAAGCTGGAATGTTCGAATTTCCTGTTGCCGCACAGCCGCGCGCGGTGACTGCCCCCCCCCCCCCCCCCGAAGCACATAGCGCCACAAATCTGATGCGGCTCACAAAATTAGGTTGTCTCTCAGGATACGGCATGCCATCGAAGAATTTTCGCAGCTGTGACAGGATGTCCTCCTCTTCCCCTCCCCTCGCGCCGCCCCGCATCGGCTGAGGTGTCGTTCAGCTCTTCTATTTCAAAGGAAATCAGTTAGATCTGTAAAAGGCATGAAACTCGAAACATATAGATGGAGAGGGGTAATAACGGGAAAAGTTTAATTTTAGACTTGCACGCACGTCTAAGAGTTGTGATTTCAATCTAGTTACCCTCTTTTTTTTTCCAAAAAGTCTGTCGACCACCGCACATTTTCAAGATATTTCATTCACACCCTTCCAAAAACGCATTGCTGGTTCCTTCCTGAACGATCCTTCTTCCAAAAGTCATGTAGGACCCTCTTCTGCAGAGAATTGATCGACCCATAGCCTGCCGGCTGTCATACTCTCCCGTACAGTTCTTTTGAATTTCAGTCGCTTTACAATTTCCTGAAGGTCTGATTATGTATTCTGGACTGATTGCTGATATACTCGAGAAGTACACTGGCTGTGCAACCGTAATTATGGGAGACGTTACCTATGGCGCATGTTGTGTCGATGATTATACAGCGAAATCTCTAGGTAACTCCACTTCATTGGTCTTCATTTTCTTCATGAATAGGAATTTTGAAAATATGATTTTGATTAAACTCTGAGAAGAAGCAAAATCATATCATCCCAGCGATCTGGTTCTCTTTTGAAACAAAATAGCTCCATTCTCCACTAAACAAGGTTTTCAGGTTGCGATCTCCTGGTTCACTACGGGCACAGCTGTCTTGTGCCAATTCAGAATACCGAAGGGATATCAATGCTTTATATATTTGTTAATATCAATATCAACATAAGTCACTTTGTTGATTGCATCCGAGCTAATTTCACGGCTCCTTGTAAAATTGCTCTTGTTAGCACAATCCAGTTCGTGACCTCATTACAGGTATTTACCTCCTCTAACATCCATTTTGTCCTTTTGCACCGTTGAATTCTTTACTAAAGTCGATATGTTTTCAGGTTGTACGCAACTCTTTGTTGGATAGTGGCTTCGAAATTATTCTTCCACAGTGCAAGCCACTGAGTCCGGGAGAAGTGTTGGGGTGCACATCTCCACGACTCGATGATAGCTGCGATGCGGCCATGTAGGTTATCTATCCCTTCCAATCTTTGGGCTGTTTTGGAATGAGAACTGGTGTAGACTTTGTTCGAAGAACATTTCCACTTGGAACTTTTTAATCGTTCCCTTTTTTTTTTAGATATCTCGGCGATGGAAGGTTCCACTTAGAGTCTTTGATGATCCATAATCCCACTCTGAAGACATTTCAGTATGATCCGTATTCAAGGAAATTTACTCGAGAATATTACGATTTCAACGTATTGATGAAAAATCGTAAAGGTAGGACCAAATCTTCCATACTTTCTATTCTTCATAGCGTCACCGAAATCGACGATGGAACCATTAGAGTTGGTCCTTTTCGGAATAGTAGGACATTGGAGTTTGGCGTGATAATTTGAGGCGTCAAATCACATGGATTTAATCCCGAAATGAGTCTGCGTGGTGATACTTTGGGTTTGAGGAAAGCAGCGAAGCCGCATCACATTGCCATAGGGTTTCGGACAGTACTGGGAGACTAATATGTTGGGAAAATGGGTTAAGATCCAATGGAAATTTGTTAGCAAGTCATGGAAACAGTGTTATTTCTTGATGTGAAGTTTCAAAGAGGTTACTCCGCTTAGTGTTTGTGTAGTGTTTTCATTTGTATTCTCTTTTACAGGAGCCGTCGACATAGCACGCAAATGTACTACATTTGGCCTGATCCAAGGAACGCTAGGGCGCCAAGGAAACATCAAAATTGTGGAGGTGAGTTTTTTTGCTTTTCATTTTGCATTGAATAAACAAATTTTCATTATTTACCCAGGGTTTTTCTCTACTTGCTCTGCTTCCAAATATGGTAAACTCCTCTATGTATGAGATAGGTGGTAGAATATGCTATTGCTAATGAGAATTCTGAAATCTTTGAGACTTACTCGCCTGGAGCATATAATTCATCATGGCCCACAGTGATTTATGGGTACTACTCTTTGGTGCAAATGAGGACACACTGTAAAATCACCATTATGCTGCTATGTTTTCGAATCTTTCTCCTCTAAGGTGTCTATTCCCCAAAATATGTGAAGCGAGCTCTTAAGGGGTACTGCTGGTAAGGCTCTTGGAGTGTTTGGTCCCCATCTTCAGTTTTCTTTTCTTTTCACTGGCGTAGGCCAAAGGCTGTTATAATGTAAAGAGCTCAAAAGGTAAATTTTTTAGGAACTAGAACGGAGATTGGTCAGCAAAAATAAAAGATTCGTACGAGTGCTGCTGTCAGAGATCTTTCCAGATAAATTGGCGAAATTTGAAGAAGTTGATTGGTATGTCTTTAATTACTGTAAAGCTCTAGTTTTCCTTTTAATCCATCTATCTTTAGCTGGGTCCAAATTGCGTGCCCTCGGTTATCTATAGACTGGGGCGTGGAATTTCAGAAACCGCTTTTATCTCCATTTGAGCTTGCAGTTGCACTCGACGAGGTTTGTTTATAAAATTTCCCTCGCCATCTAGGTAATTTTCTTGTAAAAATGCTGTCTAAGTTGATTGGTGTCACTTTATAGATATCGTTCCCGTCCTCACACTATCCGATGGACTATTACTCTAACGATTCATTAGGGCCATGGACGAACAATCACGAATCGTATCGGCCTGTGAGAGTGAAACGACGGCAGAAACTCGTGGTTACGGCTGAGGGAGTCTAATTCATGTTATAGTACCTTTGCTAACTCCATTGGCAGAGGAGTTCGTTGGTTCCATTTTATTCGGGAAGGATGGTTCTTCACCAGGCGAAGTAGAGAGGCTATGCTTTGGTCATGTTTGATGACGGAATCTGACGATGAAAGTTTGAAAACTCCTTTATTTTCGATCTCTCATGGCCAATAAAGGGCAAGTTGTCCCAACTTATCACGTATACCAAAGCTGATGGAATCTTGGTTGGGTAAGGGTGTTTATCGAACGTTGAAAGGTTGAGCTGGAGCATACGATTTGTTTCAGAAACAGCGATAAGATCCTTTGTAACTTTCCGCCTGGAATGTATTTTGCAGTCGGTTTGGGTTGTTTATTCATGTGTTTTTATTGTTTAACTTTTAGTTTTACTTCTACATATTATCAAGATTGCGCTATCCCGTAGCCTCATTTTAATCTGAATGTTCAATAAGTGTTAGGACTCGAAAGTTTATAGCAAAAATTTTAAAGATTTCAGAAGAGCACTAAATGTTTTCTCGGCAAAACGGTAAGATCTGGGATTCTCAAGATTTCCCTTTTTGAAAAATTTTGAAACTATCTATTTTGGAAAGTTACTACACCAAAAATCGCTACATCGAGTAAAGATCTCGTGTGCTCCGAAAATTCTACCATTTAAATCAGTGCCGAAGATTTTGTTTAGATCAAGGCAGCTTTAATGCACGTGTTGTACTTGCAGTAAACCAATTCGGGGCACTGATGCTGATCAGTACCATTGTGGGATGCGCCGTTCAGTTCATTCGCTCACTGTCAAAGTGACGTTTGAATGCGTATTTGCTCTATGCATGGACCCTAGGGAGCCAGCTGGCAGACTCTCTTATCTGATTTCTCAGTGATGTAAGAAGGCGCTGGCAACTTTTTGGAGCCCCTCTGTGTGGCGCAGGCCCCTCTCCCGGATACCCATTTCTTCCATAACAGAGCTCTTAACCAGGGTGAATATCGGTCGAGGAAATCCTCGACAGGGGGGTCGTACTGTCAGGGTGGGTCATGGGGGGTCGTACTCGTGGGGGTCAGTAACATCAGTGGCATCGTGGTGCAGATAGGAGTAAGAGGGTGTAGCGCAGCAGCGAAGATATGTGAGGGAAACATGATTAAATATTCTTTGCAGGTTCAT